TTCTTCGTTTTAGGCAAATTTTACAGCCTGGTGAAATGCAGCTTCTAGTGTGACTCCGTTCCAGTATTATCTAATTAAACAAATTCTCAAACGACAACCTTAAATGTTAATGACTAGGTTACTATACCTCATTATACCTAGTTCGCAAAATAACACATTTGGCGTGCCTTAAGTCATTATATAAGTAACAAATGAAATAATTTTGGGTTATTCTTTCTATTACCTAAAATAATTTGAGATCAAAATTGGAAGAGGAAGAACTATTAATATTATCAACAGCATGTTGCATGGTACAACGAGATTACCTCCTTCAGCATAGAAATAATTGCACTAAAATTTGTCCCCCTAGCCAAGGACCGAGTTGCTGCAGCCTACAGAAAGAATTCAAAGACAATTGAATAAGGAACAATACATTAAGAATGAAAAAAAAAATGAAGGGAGAGAGAGATATTCAACCTGTATAACAGGGCCATCTGCCAAGGGATCTGAATATGGAACACCAAGTTCAATTATATCTGATCCATGGTTGGAAAGAACCTTCAATGCCTCGGCCGTGGTGGAAAGATCAGGATCACCAGCAGTTATGTAGGGGATAAACGCGACCTTTAAAACATGTATGAATTTAGAACAACATTGATGAATGAAGAACTCTAACCCATCTCGTGATCAATCCCAATTAAGCATTGGTGAAAGAATTTAACCCAGTAAAGACTTGGATTGATTAGATTGAGTTGAAATGATGACTCTCAAGAGTATCAAACAGTGAACACCAAAATGCAGAAGAAGTATAATTCAACAAAACAAGAGCAAATATAAACAAACAACCCAAAAACGAAATGTCAAAAAATTAATGTTGGAGATAATAAATGGTTGAACAAATTTACCTTGCCCTGTTCCTTCAATTTGCTGAATGTTTCCGACAGTCCGATAGCATTGGAGGCTGTAAGGGCCGCCATTGGAACAAACCGCTTGGACTGGACGACTGAAATCTTGCGAAGATGAGTGGGAAAGACAAGGGCAGTGGGAATCTTGTTCAATCGAAGTAACGACGAAGAATTGAAAGCAATGTCCATTTGAGGTAAATGACGGTCGGGAGTTCACTGAATTTCAAATTCAAATCAAAACAAGAGAAGGTTTGGTGGAATTTTTGGATTGACAAATGGGTTTGTCTCCGATTACAGTCCAGTTGCGGTCAAAAACTTTTCAAATTCAAATATAGGAAAGAAGAAAATGAAATCTTACCTTGAACCTGAGAAGTTCAGTTTCGATATCCAAGGGCTGCATCAAAAATGAAGAAATCTCTCCAGCGCATCGACCTCGTTCTGTCCGAAAAATGAAGGACAGCTGCGCGAGAAATTTTGGCGGCTGGATTATTTTACGTAGGGCGAATTTTGTTTCATCGGTTTTGATTCTGTTTTTTTTTTTCTTCTTCTTATTGGTTAATTTTTCAAAAAAAATACCCCCAACTTTATCATTTATTTTTAAAACACCTTTTTTTTTTCTTTTCTTTATCTATTGTTTCAAAATTTACAATATTATTAAATTCTATTTCAAAATTTACAATATTGTCTTAATTATTTCGAAAATGTTTCCATTACCATCAAATATAATTAGAAATTATTGTGTTCATTTCTTACGTTTCGAGTCATCCAAAATTTTAATGGATTTCTCTTTAAAGACGTTTAGGATAAATCAAGAGGAATATAACAAATTTTAAAATAAAGTATTTTTAATACAAAAGGTATTTCTTATATTTTAGTCTCTTAATTCTAATTATAAGTTATATTCATTTTTATCCTCTTTAAACTTTACAAATCGTCTCATAGGCTCATATATTTTTTTTTAAAAAATTCTAATAGTTCCTTTTAAGTTTTTAATTTTGTTTTTCTCTTTAAATAGTTAAAATTATTCGAATTACATTTGAATAAAGTGTTGTATTCTTTCATATAGAGTCCACAAGATATACGACAAAAATAGTGTAACAACCGAAGTTTAAAAAACTGAACTCTAGCGCTACAAAATATCTAAGATATGAACTTTATTAGACTAGACTGAACATCATTGTCATGCATTCAGTAACTCTAAGTACAATCTGAAAAAAAAAAAAAAAAAAAATAGAATGAGTGAACATAAAATATATACTCTTCCAGTAGCCCCATGGCTACCCATTTAAAGGGGTAAAATAACTCTCATACGTGAGACCCTCGACATCAATGCTTAATTAAAAGAGTGTTGCCCAACTGTCCACATTTTATCTTAGTACTTACCTACCCTTGTTTTAGCTGAATTGGTCTAGGAGTACAATTACAAGTTCTTCACTAAACTTGTTAGGGTACTGATAAATTAAGTGCCTGTAGCAGTTAGATGACGACCTCCTAATAGAATTAGGTTTATTTCGACACAATTCCTCATGAAAATAAAGCTGTCTGGACATAAAAAGGAGTGACCCAAGTCTAAACCAACTATGATTCGTATCTAGGTCACAGTCATGTTAGACAGAGCACTACTCGAATGACTATTAGACAGAGCACTACTCGAAGTTGATCAGCGATTCCCAAAGTCTACCCCAATACAGTGTATCTCAGCTAAAACATTAATAACCTTCACCCAAATCCATAAAAAAATAAACAAATATCAAAATCCACAAAAAAGAGGAATTTATTCGAAATTTACTCCTAAAACAATCGAAATCAGTAAGCAAGAAGATTTTCAACATAACAATTTTCTCCTTAGTTTTCACAAGGAATCTATCAAGATTTACCGTGGAGTTTTGATTCTAGTGATTTGAGCTATTCCGATAAAGATTTGAATATAACTACATCAAAAGAGAGCCTAGCAATCTGATCAGATTGACAGAAGTTATAGCCAACATCGAAAAGAAGCACCATAAATTCCACCGTCAGAAGGAAGGAGAGTCGGAGATTGAAAATAGTCTATGGGGATTCAAACCCGACAATAATAATTGAATTTCTTTCGCTCTTTTCTGATTATTGTGACGATGACGAGGATGAAATTTTAGCCCCAAACTCTTTCAACCTCAGAACTGTTTTGGATTGGAAATATTTGAGCCTCAAACCCATGAAGTTGACGTTGGAGGGAATATTGCTGCATACACTCCTCGTATTATTGCATTGCTGCAATAAGTGGCTGTGGTAGTTTCATGAGTTGTCAGATTTGTTTCCTTAAGCTCTCTTCCCTTGTGGGTATTCAATAATTATAATACGGCTTGAAGAAACCAAGGCTGTGCCTATTCCTACCCCTTTCATTTCTCACCCAAAGTTTGATGCTTTTCATCAAGAAAACTCAGCATATGCATTTGGTATGTATCTACAACATAACTTTTACTTATTTACTAAGTGTATATGTATGTATCTACATAGTGGGCATTGGGGCGAGGTCGGAGACGAGAACAGGGAATGTAATCCCCTTCCTGACCCTGTTAAGCTAATGCACCGCTCCCTCTTCCATATTTTGTTTAAACAAAAATTCTTCGCCTTGTCCAAGATAGGTTCCAACAGATTCAATGAACATGTCGACAGAGAGTCATTTGGTCAAACGAGGATGGAAAATGTGATTATAAAAATGGGCCACAGGCACTTTGAAAAGAGTTGATATTAAAAGTCTTGAAAACATGCCAGGTAAGGTAAAGATGGAATTGGATCACAATTCACAATTCACAACCATCAAAATATCCAGTTAGATTGGCCTCAAACACCTTATCGAAAGCAAAAGATAAGATAACATGACTTTTGCAATGGATGTACTCAGTTCATTGACAAACGGCAACCCCACGAGATGCACGAACAACTCTCACGTGGGCTGGGGCCATCAAAAGGTTGGAGTGGGCCGACCTGTCGGACATGAGGAAAGGAGGAAGGGCTGTGCTGCAGGAAAAAAGAGCAGAGACGAAGAGGAAAGTGGAAGAGCTTTGAGTATGGCAATGATAGGTGGACGGCAAATCGGACAACATTAATTGTATTTGGATTTGGGATTGGAACAACTAGAAGTGGGTTTCGTTTCATACTTATCCGTGGGTTATTCTCTTCTACTTATTCCAAATCTACAATAATTGGATGAAGGGGCCAGTTTCCTTCCTGCCTTTCAATTCTATGTCTATACGGGAGCTCCCACCTCGGTTGGAGAAGAGAACAAACTATTTTTTTATAGGAGTGTGGAAACTCTCAAAAAAGATAATATCGGCTAGCGGTGGGTTTGGCTGTTACAGTTAAGCTCCTTATGTGTCATTCTAAAGCCCGGAAAGAAAAGCCTAAATAAGACAATATCTGCTAGCAGTAGACTTGAACTGTTACAGTCAAACTCCTTGTGTGTCATTCCAAAGTCTAGAAAGGAAAGCTCAAAAAAGACAATATCTGCTAGCGATGAACTTAAACTTTTACAGTTAAGTGTCCGGAAAGAAAGACTCAAAAAAAGACAATATTTGTCAAGTAAAAGTGCAATGAGCTTCAATAAATTTTTTTGCATTCTAATTTGTTCGCTTAATTACCAAATGTAATTATAAACGATCAACTAAATCATCATTAGAATTTTAATTTAAAAAGTTTTTAAGTGTTGACCAAATCATCATTACTAGATTCCGTTCCATGTACAGAGACTTGACAGCTCTCGGGAGTCTATCAGTTAATTATTAGATAAGAAAGGTTTGACATGAGAATTATGGCTTCTGTATACCATAATTTCTCCCTCCTGATCTAATATAAACCAATTGATATTTTCTCCCACCTTTAGGCCATGCTCAATTATCTGGTGGACTCTAGAATTCGCGAAACAGTAGATGTGAATAAGTTATACAAGTGTTGCCCTACAATGGAGGAAACAGATGAGGAGTCTATATCAGGTGGGCGTAGCAAGGAGACAAGGGGAATAAGCCTGTTTATCATCTCTTTTAGACAGTAGACCAATCATGGGCCAACATCTGTCTCCCACCACATGTTTCTCACAAAGCTTCACAATCCTCTCTCTATATAATCACTACCCTCTTAGTTCATCTCCAGGCCACAAAAACTAAACATCCATTGTTTCTCTATTTTAGTTCTTCTTCTTCTTGTTGTTCTTACATTCATCATGAGGAGTTCAAAGATCTGGTTATGGCAGCAATGTTCAAAGCAAATCAGAGAGCAGAGGGCAAGACTTTATATCATCTGGAGATGTGCTGTGATGCTTCTATGCTGGCATGATTAACTACTCATCCAAAGCAAAAGGTAGAGATTTAAGAGAAGGCAAATTGTCTCCAAGGACTCCACACTCTCTTACGCTAACTATAATATACAGAGTTGAAGAAGCATAGAATGTGTTCGAGTTGTAGACGAGAACAAGTGACACTATGTACAGTTGAGGATCGAATTGTGTCAACTAGGATTGCAGAGAAATGTTCTTTTATTTCACTGTGTGAAATACTATGTTCTATACTCCTTCCATAGAAACATAGATCAATTATGCTGTGAATCCTTCTGTTCTATCCTACCCATTCTTGTGGGGATCCATAACAACAAACAAGAGTTCATTATAATCACGATTTGGCCACTAAAAGGGTGGTTGTATTGATGTTCTTTTACTTAATCATGGGATCCCCATATAACCTAATTCAATCATAGATCGTCACATCGAGGAGTTTGCGAGCCAAGTCATTGGATTACTTCAGAACCTGGATACAAAATCACCACACACTAACTTCAATCCGTACCAAATTGAATAGCTTTTTAGGTACCATCCACTGTAGGAGATGTGCCAATTGCCTTCAACTGGATTGCTAAAAAGTTAAGCAATTTTCTCCTACATCACTGTGGTTGAATGATTATTAAAAGAAAAATAAAGAAGTTTCCAAGTTTTCCACTTTTTGAGAAGTCCACTATACTCTTTTCAGAAGTCCATGAAGTCTTCCTCTTAGTTTCTGGAAGAAGATAGAGGGCCAGGGTTGCACTATGTTCTCAGGAAAAGAGGTGTTCCAACATTTAAACTCAGTGAATGTTTTCTCTTCCCAACCATTTTTCCTTGACTTTGTGGGCTTTCATGACTCCTCTGACCCATTAATTAATTCCAAGTCCTTGAAGATTGTCCATAACTTTATAATGATGGATTAGAATAATTTAGTTCCAAATACACCCACTGTTGGCTAAGCATCTTTGCAAACTTCAATGAACCAGTTTTCCACTGACCAGAACAAGACAATTGCATCAGACCCTCTCAACCACAGCATGTGTGAGAAAGAGAAAAGACGATCTAATTAAAACAAGCAAACATGATTTATTGGCGGAAGATATCAACAAAAACAAAAACAAAAAACAAACAAAGTGGAGAATTAGAATGACAAATTGAATCATATAAACGTACCTATTTTCTTCATCCGGTTGAATAAAGTTTGGGAGGAAGCAGGTAGCACCACCAGTCGAGGTTTTGATTATGTGCAGGCAAGGAGCAACACGAATTCCCAGGTACGATCAATGCCAGAGAACGAGTGCACCTATTTATCACCTCTCATAAAGGGTTAGAAGGAAATCAATATTCTCAAATCCGACCGATGAATAATAAATTATCTAAACATATATTTACAGTAACTTTCCCGCCACAAAACCCATTGAAGATGCATTAACAAAAGCAAGTCATATTTTATTGCTCTTTCGTTCTTTACATCAGCAGCTACAATATCTTCTACTGTGTACAAGAAAGAGAAAATTTCATACTATTCTCGTCATTGATTTGCTTGAAGTAATGACGACCGGAGCTTTCTTAGGATGATTATTTATTCTAAAGCTAAAATTAAAAATCTTCTGATCGATACTACGGAAGCTGGAGAGTTAAAGCTTGGTGAAGCACGTAATGAATTCCGTTTGATACTTTGTTGATTCATCTTTTATTACTAGGTAGAAGTACCAGCGCAATTCCTTACAATCTCATCGAATCTATCATCTCCAGCAGCCTTCCTGGATCTTGACCACCCTACTTCGAATTCCCTGTGAATTACAAATTATTTAACTTACACGTTCACAATATTAGAGACATTTATTAGTCAAAAAGTAGTGCAAAGAAAGGCCCGTTGGGGAACATTTCTGCTACCTTTCCCTCTATTTCTTATTATTTTAGAGGAGAAACAAAAGTGTGATCTTGGAAAGTTATCATGGAAATGGGACAAAATAAACATAGAATCGCTAAAATACCTGTTTATTAAAGAATGTAAATGAATAACAAAAAAACAAAACAAAATCATTCCCAAACACGTCATAACAAAGCACTTCCTGTTGCCTGTATTCTTGATACGGCAATTACACCTTTGGAGTTCGTTCATTTCCAAAATCTTACGCAATTTAACTCAGCCATAATGGATATAATTGGCCAAAAAGACTCATCAAATAGAGTAGAACAAACCAAGAAAAAAATATTTTGATGTAGGATCTATTTAGCTTTTAGAAATGCTGCTAATAGCTACATAAAAGTAGGTCCTCAGCAACTTGAGAATTGGACTTTGACTTACGGTGGACTTTTGACCTGTCAAGTGGCAACCTACGAGTTGATGGAGCTCGGGCCACAGATGAAGCAGCCACAGCTGCAGCCGCAGCCACACGTATCCTACAAACGTGAGAAACATTCTACATTCAAGCACACAGTCAGCTAAATAAGCCTGATGCTAAAAGAAAAAAAAATATGCACCTTTTATGGACATCCACATATACGTCTGTCTCATCTACAATTTCCTCCTGCATTGTGAGGCAATTCAGTGTAAGCCAATTATCTATTATACGTTGAGACATGGATACGTGCATTTTTTATGAAGAACCACAGAAAAGATAAACCGTAAATGAATTTTATTTGCACAAAAAATTGGTCACCAGGAGTTAAAATTTAAGTTGATAGTTCAGCTGCCTAATCCTTCTTGTCATGATAGAACAAATTAATAATTATTTTCTAATATATAAATTGTGGAAATTGTGCTCACTTGCAGAAGTTCTTCAAAAACATCCTCTAAAGTGATTATCCCAATAACTTCCCCATCTTCAATATCTTCAAACAAATTGCACACTCCATTTGTTGCAACCACATTATGCTGCATGGTTTGCCTGATATCAGTATTCCTTGGAGCTTTTTCAATGTCAACATCAACACTGTCCAAATCATTGTCATGTTCTGAGAGCAAGGGAGTGAAAAGCGGAGATATCTTAGAGGTAAATTTTTTTTTCTCGTGTTTATCTCCATCGCTGACAAACACTGAGTTCTTATTCTTCTCCTTGACCTTGACTACAGCCGCCATATGACTACTTCCCTTTTGGAACTCATTTAGGATATCATATAATGGCATATCTGAAGGAACCCTGCATAACATGTTAAGAGGTGAAGTCATTTATAATTATTTAGATATAAGGGAAGAACATTCATTACCTAGGAATTCTCCGTATTGAAACAGCACTGACTGGAGTTTCCGTTTCTGCTCTTACTGTCAGAAGACTTTTCACCTGAATCCAGGGGGAAAAAAAACTTGCAACTAATTGAAAAAGATAGTGAAGGGCTCAACAATCACAAGAAAATTGGAATTTCTTTTTAAGAAAATAAGTGATGTTATTTCCTACTCTTAAGAGCTTGCCATTGCATTTGAAAAGAAACATACAAGTCAAATGGAGGTTGAAAATGAGAAGGCAAAAATGTAATTGCAAAGAATTCTACTGATACCAATAGGAGACCAATTATATTCTTTGGATTCTCAGAATAGACTGGGACACGACTATGACCACGTGCAAGTATTTTTCCAATTGCTTCCCTGTACAAGAAATAGGGTAAAAATCAGTTTGCAATTACTTGGGTTCCAGTTTAGTTTGATAATCATTTCTGTTTTCTGTTTATGGTTTTTCTGTTTGTAAAAACAAAAACCATGAAACCATTTTTTGTTTTCTGCTTTTTAAAGAGGAGAGAAACATATGTGGAGGCAGGGAAATAAAAGTGAAGAGAAGAAGAGATAAAGTTTTTAGAGAAAAATCTTGGAAAGTAATTGTATAGAGATAGAGAAGAGGATTCAAGGAATTTAAACCTGCCAGAAAAGATATTAGCAATCATCAGCATTATTAATATAAATGAACAGAAAGGCAAGGTTTAACAATAAATAAATTAATCATGATTTTGATGCCAAACTAACCAGTCCAAGTTGGAATTCACATCCAAAGAAAATGTTGATTCTATTGGTGTCATAGCCGCCTCTGCAGTCTGCATTCAGAAAGTTCAGTCATTTGATCTGTAAATTTTCTTTACAACAAAGTAAATCGAAAAGATGTCTCATAATCTTAAAGGAGTCGAGCTTATGAGTGAGACTAACAGCCGAAGGTCTCAATAAAAATAATAAAAAAATCCATCCTTAATTACCACACCATTCTTATTAGTGTTTACAGAAAACGGATGATTGAAAAATAAAAAAAGCAATACGTGAGGAATTAAACTGGAACTTTGAAAATGAAAAAACAGAATTGAAAATGGTTAATATATTAAGGAGGCACATGTATGATATATATTAGCTGTAAAGTTATATTGAAAAGTACAAGGAAAATTTTGGTCATATGAATAAATACATAATGACTAGGGACACAACCAGATGGTGATGGTATAAAAAGCAACTAATCTCCTCATATCCAGTAGATTTTGCAAGCAAAAATCCTTGGAACTCCCAATTTACTAGAGGAAAAAAATGAATACTTGTTATATTAGACTAACCCTTTATTAAGATTCTATACACATGTTTTCTGAACAAGTATTTTCTTATACCAAACCAAAATGCAGGAGTTTCCCTAAATCAAAGTGGCATGATAAAACAAAGATGGTAGATAAATCATAATATGTATAAAGATTACAATGCTCATCATATGAGAATAGATACCTTTTCTGTCAAGTCCAATGCCCCACTGATGATGGTCGTCTCATCGTGTGTGAGTTCACCTCCCTTCCCAGCCTAAATGAAAAAGTAACTTAAGGACCAATTCATAACAAATCCCTGAAACTTTGCTCTTAATCAAATCTTGCACCCTTCCACAATGTTATAGAACGGTTTTCATTCTTTGTCCAAACCAGAATATATCTCATTAATTTCAAATGCTAGCATAGTATACTTCTTGTTACCTCTTGTCCATGGATAGAAACAAGGGCTTTCAACTGAGCTCTCCTAAACAGAGCATCATGGTGACCAAGTAATGCATCCAAGACCTAGAGCCAGAATATCGGTAAGTAATAACAAAGGCCACATGAAGAAAGTGAAATAACCCAGTGTACATCTCTTCAATCTCAAATATGCAATCACCTACTTCGCAAAACAGTTAATTAAAAAAGATAGAAAAAAGGAAGACAAAATTTTCCCTTTACATTAACAAAAAAAAGGGGAAAAAAAAAAGTAAAGTTATTTCTTTTCTCTTTGAAAAGGTAGAATTAAGGAAATATATACTGCAAGAGAAGGTTGAGAATATGGAAGAAGGTCCAGGTTGACTTTTTGACACTGCAAAAGTGAAGCCTACATTAGAAGCCAAAGAAGAAATACATGAATAAAGACTTAAAGTCAATGCTTTATAGTTTGGTTCAATCATAGGTCGCTACAACCCATGGGCTCAGCTCAAAATGCAGCACGCATACAGACAAACTAGCAGATTTAAGACTTACTCAAATTCTGGATTTCATGATTACCCTAATATAATCACCAATCATGAAATTTATAGAAAAGTAAATAGACGACTTCAATTAGAGGAAAGACAACAAAAGGTTAATAGACGACCTTTTTGGAGTCGATGCATGATCAGAGTAGAGTGGAATAAGAAAATAGAGTACAATCTACAAGCAATCATGCACAAGAGTAAATTTCATATGCAAGAGAAATAAAGGAATGCAGCAGCAGCAGCAGCAGAAGCAGCTTTCTGCCTACTTCAGTGGTTACCTTTCCAACCGGGTACGAAATTGGATAACAGATGATCATCAAAATACGCACTAGCCATATAAAATTTGCACCAACAGCAAGTCCATATCTCGAGCATATTGCTTGAGGAATAATCTACTAAATAATGAAAATTAGATGCAATATGGCATAGGCTTGTTATAGAATGAAACGTATTGTCAATAGGAAAAATGTTATACCTCGCCAAAGACAAGAACAAAGGTCACAGATAGCAAAACCGCGACAAAAGGATGGAAGATTTTATCAAGGTATATAGGAAGAGCCTTCAAGAAAATTTAAAAACGAAATGAACATCATCAATGAATTATCCACTTGCCATAAATCTGACCACTCCAAATAATAAGAGCGGGATGCAAGTAACCAGAAATTAATAGTATTCAGCATTGAATCCATAGATTGAATTGAAGAAAAAGAAAAGTCGTAATTAGAACAGAATTTAAGAGTGCAGAATCGAATACCTCCATAGCACAAGCATTACAAAGCAGCAGCGTAACTAGCAATTGGTGCTGCTTCTGCAGCACCGGAATAATAGCAGCTGCGCAAAATAGAAATCAAGCAATGAAAAGCGAGTACGAGCGTAATTACAAAAGAATTGAATCAGAGGGAGAGTGGAAAGACCGCGGACCAGCTTGCTTTTTCTCGGTCGAAGAACCAGTGCGCTGCAAGATTTCAAGCTCGACGAGGTTGAGAGACATGAGGCCAAGGGTGAGGCCGGACATAATACCAGCGAACAAAACGAGGAGACAGGAGAGGCCAGCGTAAACGAACCACCATGCAGTGGGAAAAGGAATATCATCGGCTTCCACCACAGGGACCTGGTAATGATTGTGGTTGTTGTTGAAGAAGAAGGCGGCGGCGGTGGTGGCCAATGTCAAGGAATTAAGGAGCAGCATTGCCGGAAAAAGGGGCGGCAGACAGAAAGGGAAAGGGGCAGTATGAGCAAAGAGAAAGCGAAGAAGGCGCGCTTGACTGGACGCTTCTGATTTCGTGGCGCCTTTTTTCGTTTTCTGATCTTCTGATTCCACGTGGGCCAGACCACAGGCGATTATTTGGACACGGCAGCTGTCGTTCTTTCAGCCTTGCTGATGCAATCGATCTGTCGTCTCTAAAATTTCTACTTCGTACTTGCCTCCTTTGTATATCTTCCAAATCAAAATGTCGTTAGTTTTAAATTAATAAAATACTCTATATAAGTCAAAAAAAAAAAAAAAAAAAAAATTAATTTTTCAAAATTATCAAAAATATTTTTAACGTTAATTTTGGATGGAACAAATCCGAGTGCTCAATCTTGAACATGCAGTGGAAACCACCAAGCTGGAGTACGGTATGGGCAGAGGGAATTTTCGATAGAGCGGTGAAATGTTTTGAGATCGAAAAGAACATTATTGGTGAAAGTACTCTGTTAAGTCGACACTACCATTGAGAGACAAAAACTCGGGATGCAAATGAGATTAGATATCCCAATAGTCCTAGTCATAAATGATGGATACTAGGCATTGTGCGTATTAATCCGTGCAGTGTTGTAGCTAATGTGTTAAGTATCGTGCCTGAGGAGTAGGTTCGCTTAATTCTATGTTTCAAGAATATCAAACTTTAAAAGATTTAAAATATACCCATTTAATTTTTAATAAAAACATTTCAAAAACATACCAAGTCAATGAAAATTTTAAAATAAAGTATTAATGGTTGATCCAAAATTAATAGTATATATATATATATATATATATATATAGTTTAAGAATATTATTGAAAATTTTACACTGAAGACATATGTTGAGGTGTCTGGATCAGAGTAATGACTGAGTTCTGCATCGACAATTGGGTGGAAGATGTAGAGCTATTGGCAGTGAGACAAGCACAATGGCAGACATGAGGCTCGGTTGGAGGACTTTCTTCATCGTTAGTGTAAGAGCCCAAACCCACCATTAGCAAATATTGTCTTCTTTCAGCTTTCTCTTTTGAGTTTTCCCTCAAGATTTTTAAAACAAGTCTATTAGGAGAAGTTTTCACACCCTTATAAAGAATGATTCATTTTCCTCTCCAACCGATGTGGGATCTCAAAATCCATCCCCTTCAGGGCCCAGCATCCTCACTGGGACTTGATGCAGGATCTCACAATTAGGTTGGCCGATGGCATGACGATGGATGAGGCAACGATAGGGTTTGATTAGTTAGGGACGACACTCGGTGCTAGGGCAAGCGGGTTACACTCAATTGGACATTTGTTTCAACCATAATTCTCCAATAAAATGGATCTACTTCTAGATGAAAACACTCTTTAGAAGCTTTTGTAATATAATGCATGAATATCACCTAACAAGAGGCTCATTGAAAAGGGATGAGGCATACAGCACCAACTGAATGGGGCCTAAACAATGCTCATCGTCTTGGAACCTAAACAAGACAAACCAAACCAAAAGCTCCTTGTGTATAAATAGAGCCAATGAACATGCCAAAATGGTCAAGTAATCAATAGCAAACAGATGGGGCGGCTCGAATTCGCATACGCATCAGCAGCATTATTGTTCGTTTTAGCTCTGATGACACCCAAGATAGAGGCGCAAGCATGGTCATACCCTCCAAAACCCCTTTGTTCTTCACAGTTTGCGCTTGCAAGCTACGCTTGTGCAAGGCTGCCTCTCAACCTGGAGCCCCTCCCAATTTCTCCGCCTCCTTCGCCCCACGTGGAAGAAGGTCACAGGCATGGGCACGAGCATGGGCATGGACATCACCGTGGGCATCACCATGGGCACCACCACCGCAACCGCTCGCCCATCGAAGAGGAATGTTGCCGATGGGCGAGGCAAGTGGATAACGAATGCGTGTGCGATGCATTAGCTCATTTGGCTAACTTCATGGTGCGTCCCTCGCATGTGTTTACCGTGGCCATAACAGAAGACTGCATTGTCACTTACTCGTGCATTGGACGAATTAAGATTTGAGCACACCATATTGAGTATACCAATGACATTAACAAATTATAGGTATGATATATGAATGAGTACTAATATAATATACTACTTATACACCAATAACTATGTTATATTTAAACTTTGATATTGAACGAGTGTTGATATTCTACTGATGCACGTAGTGCATCAATGACTCTGTTTATGTCAATATGTAACGTTTAAATTCATGGCTTCAATGAGTTTCTTTCTACCTTAACCGAACATGGCTCATGCTGAATTGAGCTTCATTACTTTTATTTTAGGTCAAGGCCCTTCAAATACAACCCACGTCACATCTCATCTTAAAAATGTGGCCCACATGTTTTTGCAAAATTATAAAAATAAAAATTAACGATAACTACACCTGTTCACTTTGTTGATAGGTTGTTTGCTAATTAATAAAAATATTCTTAAACTCGTCGGTATCTCTAAACATTCAAGAATTTTAATAATATCCTTAATCTTAAAATAATAATAAAAAATAAAAAAAAATAAAAAATAAATCTAGATGACATGAACAAGCGAGTTGTAATGGCCGACGACATCTTGAGACTCGGAATGGCGTTAGGACATATGTGGGCCATATCGATGGGCTTAATATCTGAGGCTCGATAAGTGTAGACTCTGATGTGATTGGTAGCCACTGGGGTAAAGAGAATGAATTACCCGAGAGATCGAGATGACAAGATGAGACGCGACATTGCATTGAGAGACCTTGACCCCAAACAGAGGCAAGGTCGAGCCGAATGACTTGACTTAGTTTAGAGGCAAGTCGGTTGAGTCGCATACGATTGAACATGCATGCACAGACGGCGTGTGTGGTCAAACAAGGTTGGATTCTATACCAGCAATGTTCAATTGGCGAAAACAAACCTCGCTCATGAAGCCAAAGAACATAACTTTAAAAAATATTCAAATATACTCTTAAATTAGTTTTTTCAAAAATACTTTAAATTTCAAATTGTTTTAAAAATACATTTTAACTTAAAAATATATATATATATATATATATATTTAAAGACAGTCAATTTTTCAAAATTTTCATTAATACTCTTAATTTTTTTTTTCAAAAACACCTCTACACTTTTTTAATTCAAAAATATTTTTTATAATTTAAAAAATACTCATGAATTTTCTAAGATAACATTAAAAAATTTAGAGATAATCTATAAAATGTCAACGTACGATTTTCGTTCATATATTGACGATAATGTTTTCGTCGAGAGCGTGAGCTTCGAGTGGGCTATGGAATCGGTTGATGCATTATCTTGAGTGCCAATTGCAAATGGGATTAGGACTGCACTACCCATGCATTCCCAATTTTTCACCTAAAAAAACATCTCTTTCTTCAAAGTCAATATATGCCTAAAATATTCTAATTCTCTTCATTATATTGTCCTAAATCCACACACCATACCTCTTTTTCTAATATGATAATGAGCATCTTCTTTTCGAACGTCTCCATCGGTGCGAAAAACTTTTCGGATTCTTCATGGCTAGCTGGTTGGCCTTCGGGTTCTTTCGATATGGACACCTTTACTACATCCATAACATGCTCTGGTGCTGGCCAACCATTCTCTATCGTGTCTTTAATCACATTTTGGACATTTTCGAGACCTCTGGATCGGTCTGGAGAAGTTTCCTCGAAAAACTCCACATCAGTGTAGGTCATGATTTGTGATTTGAAAATTCGAAAAGTGGGTCGTGAAAGTTTTAGTTTAAAAAAAATTGCTCTGATACCAATGGAAGAAAATGAACTATTCATTCACGAGTCATCGAGTCCATTGAATCAATTACATGCTAAGAGGCGAGACGCCTTTTTGGTGGATGACCACCTCATGTTCAATGAGCATGAGTGAGAGGACAATCTCCCAACCCCCAATTCTGGGAAGCTTTTCTTCCATAAATACTACCTTGCAATCCTACTAGTTAGTTGTATTAATTGTAAGTTCACCGCTAGTAGATATTGTCTGTTTTGGCCCATTACGTGTCACTGTCTGTTTTGGCCCATTACGTGTCGCCGTCAGCTTCATAGTTTTAAAACACGTCTGCTAGGGAAAAGTTTTTACGCCCTTATAAGAAATGTGTTCACATCTCCAATATGATCTCACAATCCACCCCGTCTGCTAGGGAAAAGTTTCCACGCCCTTATAAGAAATGTTTTGTTCCCATCTCCAATATGATCTTACAATCCACCCCCTTGAGGGTCTTGTGTCCTCGCTGGTACACTGCCCCATGTATGAGTCTAATACCGTTTGTAACAACCCAAGTCCACTGCTAGTTGCACATTACGTGTCGCCGTCAGCCTCACAATTTTAAAACATGTCTACTAGGGAGAAGTTTCCACACCCTTATAAGGAAAGTTTCGTTCTCCTCACCAATTAATGTGGGATCTCACACCACCACTCATTCTTTTGCAGCCTAACTTAACTCATTAAAAACCGTAAGCATTATAGAAAGGATTAAGCAACACAATGATTAGTTAATAAATGATAAATGAAAGAAACTCGAAACAGAGAATATAATCATGATCCCATCTAATTCATCCGTTGAAGCGAGTAATGCAATCCCACAACGTCGTGTTTGAGGAAGCTTCATGAGCTTTCCACCAAAGCAACGGTGGTTCCCACTAAGCATATAAGCACAATGATAAACATATATAAACATACATCATTTTATTCTGTGCTTAGCCATGCGCCGTTGGTGCGGGGAATCTCCATTGCCACCACCACCACTTTCTCCACCAAAAGCTGCAAACCTCATATGAACATTCATTCATCTTCTATATCAAAATTTCAGCACTAATACTGATTTGCATGCATGATCTAGCAAAAACATTACGAAAAATCAAAAGGGTAAGATCGTATGGATTGATACGATAACCGTAGTTAATTGGATCTAAGAACCTTCGTAGTTATGCAAACTCGTAGATCATATATATTAAAACCCTCTAATCAAGATGATTTCTATCACTAATGACTGTAACTCAAGGAATATGAGCTAATAATATTGTTAAAAGATCTAAAATATTCAAGAACTCCAAAAAATTTAGATTACCTTGTTGATCAAATATATTCAGACAAGAAAACTTATTTGAAATTTGAATAATTTTATAAGATAATTTGATCAAAACTACTTAGAATGATTCTAATCATGCAACATAAACGGCATAATCTATCAAGAATTTGTAACTATTTGAGAATAAATGATGCCCCACTAAGCCGAAACATCTCTGGATTGGGTCTCAACTATTAGTCAAGCAGTCGTACTTCTTTCACCTAAAGCAGAACTTGATTTAGCTGCTTTTTTCAAAAGGCGTGAATGCAAATAATAAACATTCCCAGATAAGCTTCGCTCAGGCGGTCACATAAAAATTTTGATTCTTGTGGTAATTTGAACAATATTCTTGAAATTTTTATTATATGACTTAGATGTCTTGATTTATATTATGAAAACTCTGAATTGTTTAAATATGAAACTCAAAAGCTATGATTCTCGTATTGAAAATAATGTTAAAAACAACGAACACGTAATCATCAGATCTCCCTCGATTAAAGTTTTTGTTTTTATTTGTAGGTCAAGGTGAAAAAAAGAAAAAAGAATGAAATAGTAGTACGAAAGGCATGCAAATGCATCATATTGATGTTATTATCTAACGGGCGGCGGCGGCGGCGGCGGCGGTTGGCGCCCTCTTGAAAGGCATTCTGAAAGCCTTATGTTTCAGATAGGGTTGACCGTGGGGTTGGGTCAGAAAGTGCGCTACAATCGTGGCGCTTGGTCCAGCCACAAGCTTAGTCCACGCCTCGTCAGCTTCTTTCCCTTTCTTCCTAAACGCCTCCGTGGCATCCACCCTGTGTATCTTCCAGCCTTTGACATTCCGAAGGCGAAGGATTTTGTCCACTTGGCGACACGCCAAGTCACACGTGTTCGCCTTGATCTCTGCAATGGCTTCTTGTAGCAGCTTCTCTCGTGTTTCATAGTCTGAATTAGGTGCGCGAAAGTAGTGGTCCAGCTCTGGGACGCCAATTGCCCTCCTGATGCCGTAGGAATAATCCACATTATTCGGGTCGTACAAGTTTCGAACCTCCTCGACAAGTCCATTTCCGACCATCTTATCCACTCGGTCCGACACCGACGAATGGAGGATCGGCATCGAAACGTCCACCCAAAGAAAGCAACATTCGTATTTTGACCGAAACGTCGAGTAGTCGTCGACTAAAGCCTCGACGTAGGAGTTGGAACCGCCGACTATGATTGGGAGGTTGGCACGGTGGACGATGGAGTCGGCGGCTAGGGTGGCCATGCGGCAGAATTTGGCGACACTGAAGTCTAGGAAAGGGCTGGCTATGCCGAGCAAGTGATGCGGTACTCCACGCTGCTCATCGGGGGTGATTTTGTTGGTGACAATGTCGAGGCCGTCGTGGAGTTGAATTTTGTCGGAGTTGATTATTTCACAATTGGCGAAGTGGGTGGCTAGGTCAATGGAAAGCCGGGATTTTCCGCTGCCGGTGGCTCCCATCACCACCACCACCTTTTGCTTTTCTTTGATCAGCCGCCGTGCCGGAGTTAACCCTTTGATGTTCACTTCTCCAAATGGAAGCTCGTGGTTAACCATTGCTAAATTACTGATCATGGCAGCTTGGTTTGTTGGTCAACGGATTTGGTCAACGGGGCTGGCTCCTAAATGATTGAGCTGAGGAGTGAGCTACTTATAGGGATTGGGAAGATGGTCAACAGAGTGGCTTAATTCATCAGTGGATTGTCTTCTGACAGTCAACTTATCGATTATACTTATGTTTCTAAAGGATTTTGTCGCTCTTTTTCACGGTTTCCGACATGTTATGTTAGGTTATGATATGTTTTGAAGGCCTTGTGGCTCTATTATAGTCCTTTTTATACTTTAGGGATAAGATTCTCTCGGAATTGCATGCTTATTGTTCTTTTGCTTTAGGGTTTATCATTAGATTCTTGTAAGAAGGTAGTTCATTAAG